TTATAGGCCATAATAAATGTTGAAGCAAACAACAGGATTGGGCCAATTGTTCTGTAATTACTGGTAGGCCTTGTTGAGGCAATGGCAGACAGATTAGCGCGTATGGATTCACGTAAACATAAATCGCTTTAAGTAGTTTTCGCAAACGAAACTGATCGCTAACCTGATTTACCTCAATTATATCGAGATCATGAAATCAAATAGAATTAGGTAACACATGATGACGTAGAGTGCGTGCAGTTTCGAGTAGTGTGCAAATGATTACATACAGTCAGTCAAGTTACTGAAAACGTTATACCCTCGTATCTGCTATATTACCTTGACATATGCATAATACCAATAAGGACTTTTAACACAATACTCTGGAGTTGTCAACTTAAAAATGGATCTCCTACATGGAAATTGAGTTTCAAATGTTAGGATGCAAATTATCATACACGTGAGAAGCAAACAACTGGTGGTTATTTCGAAATTGAACCTGCGCATACGAAACATTAAATGATGCTGAATTATCGTGGACGTCGCGGCCGCATTTTAAAACAGATTTATTTCACTAAAGTGTGGCTTTTCCCAGTTACACTTGCAACCGGAAAGTAAAAATGATGAAATCAAGTAAATACATTGCAGAATGTAAAGGGTCCTATGAGACACAGGGCACGCGTAAAAGCATGTGCTGATGTCTGCTTGCGTAAATGAGTCAGACATGGCCTTTATAGCGTTTTGAATCTACTCCCTGTGTCATTTATCGATGGTTGCCTCGTCTACAAAATCAGTCGGATAGCAATCATTCCGATGATCTCACGGTTGTGACCCGCACCACTTTAACTACTGTCCTATTATCGTGAACTGGCAGAATGAACGTGTTGGTCGTTTATTGTCGCACATGCAAACTCAAATATATTCTTCGGATAGAATAGTTAAAATAGCGCTTTAGTTACGCGCTGTCGCGTCTACAAACATTATTCTAAAAGAGACGGTATAAGTTTTGTCCTAAGGTGCTTCAGTGCTCGAATAGATTTGTGCATGCTCTGCAGTTGCATTTGATGTGCACGTATCAGGTATAACCTACTAATATTACTGTGAACATGAACGATGCTGAATAATTTATAAGAAAGGTTAAAAAGTGGGAAAAGTACGATCGAATTTGACAGACCACGTCATCACCTAAAAACGCGTCAAAATTAAAAGAATTTCAGAGTGAGGTCTACACTTGCAATGAGTGCAAGTTGTCGAGATGCTCTTTGTTACGAAATACGTGTAGACAGAAAACATCATTTATAAATCAGGCAACAGTCGTTTTAATTGGGGATGAACTAACATGCTGTGGAAAAAAGAATGTTACGTAATGAGTCCTTTTAACCCAACCTGGCTTTATATTCAATGGAAATAATATTATTCAAAGTCGTCACACTGTACAATTTGAGAACTAAAGGAAGCCATCGAAATGTACGAATGATGGCCAGTCACGAGCAAACCGACACAAGTTTATGCAACTAATACCTATATTATTTACGAACAAATTTAAATGAAATAAAAACCTCTGTGGTATCGGAGCTTTCATTGCCCATAATTAATCTTGCCCTTAGGTCTGTTCACTAGACCTACCCGCATCGACTTGGGGCACTATGAACACCGAGGAAAATTAAATCCCGCACACCTTGGAACTGAGAACTCCTCCCCGACGCCTCCACACGTCATCACCGATCTCTCTTCCCTGGTAAACCAATGACCACCTCCATGACAATCAGTCCCCGCCAAAGGACCTCCTTGTGTTCCCTATCCTATCCGAACTCCAACCTGTCCTTCCGCCATCCAAAATAATCCCTAATCATTCCCTTAGGCCACTGGCTTGGGTTCTTCTTGGACGTCGAATAGGGGGTTTCGACACTTACCTGATTTAGGTCGCCTACACACGTGCTCAAAGATACAGTACACGCTGGTCAGCCGTGTAGTTTTACGCATCTGGCTGCCGGCGTCGTCTGCAGTCTCATGCCTGCTCAATACCTTTATTTTGCCATAGGCCCCAGATTCACATCGCTTGTGCTCTTGTTCGCACATTATTCTGCTAATTCAGATTGATTGTGCTTTTTCTAAGGGCTGCCGAAATCCCATAAATGGTTGCCACGTACTCACAGAACGGCCCCAACGAATAGACCCAAAGGTTGAAAAAACAGTCAGAGATCTAAAGCGTATGCAGAACATAAAATAAATAGTAAAATTAATATGGCTTTGTGTAAAATAACAACATTCTTGAAGCCTAAATTTTGTTAAAAGCCAGATATCCTTCTAAATGTAAAACACGGGAAGGATATGATTTGTAACCGGGGCACCATAACATTATAAACTCGCTAGTACATTTGCTTGAGTAAACGGTGTTAAACTACGGTTTTGCTTGTTTAGCAGTCCGGCTTCACTTTCGACATGCCGCAAGGACTTCATTATATTGTAAAAGTCCCCCTACAATCAACCACTTTGAGAATAAAGCCTATTATATACGTCCCTACGGATCCATTATAAGGCTTCCCAACCCGAACGCGTTACATGTAATGCGGCAGATTTGCGCGCCATCGACGGCATTCCGCGATGTCCTCTTATCCTCACTTTACCGCAAAAATAGTTGCTAGATCAAGGTAGTCCTTTGTTTCCTGTACCGGCATCAATTATTATAAAGTTTACCCAATAAGTTTGCAGAGGCGGAGTCATCATGACTGATTAATAATTGGAAAAGTAGTCTGTTTCGTCACATTGGTCCGATTCGTATGCCGTCCGGGTGCTGCAACGTGTGTCATTCCGCGACATGGGATAGGATGGTTTCCCATGCTTCTTTTATACCGACTGCTTTTAATCCAAACCAAACAAACAAAGCAACTCATTCGACAGCCGGTAACCTCCTTGGCGATGGCACACAAAGCACGTACAACTATTACCAAGGCCGAGCAGAGTGCTCTCAAAACACTGAGGGCTGACACCAGCATCGTGATTCTACCAGCAGACAAAGGGCGCTCCACAGTTGTGATGGATCAGGCAGACTACATTCAGAAAGGCAATGCCCTACTGGAGGACCGACAGGCGTACCTACCATGTAACGATGAACCGATGAGGAAGCTGGTGACGCAACTGGACAAGACACTCGCCGACATGCAAACCAGCAAGACAATAAATAAATCGTTACGACTGGCCATTAAGCCAATAGACGCGGCCGCACCACGCTTTTACGGACTGCCAAAGGTACACAAAGCCGGGGTGCCCCTCCGGCCGAAACCTGAGGTCTCTCACCTCGGACGCGGGCACGACGGTCTGTTCAGCGACTCAGTTCCTGGAGCGGATCAAAGGGATGAGACTTACCGAAGACTAGGCCATGGTGTCATTCGACGTCACTTCTCTTTTCACATCGATTCCGAAAGACCTGGCAGTCGAAACGGTCAGCGAGCTGCTCGAGAGTCAGTACGACGAGACGGGCGTGACGATAAAACGGAGACATCTCGTCCAGTTGCTGAGATTCTGCCTGAAGACGTACTTTACCTTCGAAGGTACGACCTAAGAGCAGGTCAAGGGGACGCCAATGGGATCGCCGCTCTCGGGCTTCATCGCAAAGTCAGTTCTTCAAAAAGTAGAGACCCTAGTCTTCGCAGCCTATAAGCCTAAATTTTGGACTCGATATGTCGATGATAGCTTTGTTATTATTAAGCGGCAAAAGGTACAAGAATTCCAAGACGTCCTGAACTCTGTTTCCCCTGACATCCAGTTCACAATGGAGGCGGAAGCCAACAACCAACTGCCGTTCCTGGACGTTCTCGTCCATCGAAAACCAAATGGGCACTTAAAAACGACGGTATATAGGAAGGCCACTAATACGCGCCAAATCTTGAGCTTCCACAGTAAGCACCCGTTGTGCCACAAACGCAGTTGTGTGCGAACACACCACAGAAGGGCAGAAACACACTGCAGCGAGCCGGACGACAGAAAGTCCGAACTACGCTACCTCCAGCGCCTCTTCATGTTCAACGGCTATCCGCGCATCTTCATCGAAAGCAGCAGACAGGCCGGACTGAGCCGACGTTTGGAAACAGAACGGCCAAAAATATGGCGGGCGCTTCCATACATCGATGGAGTTTATCAGGCGGTCTCCCGTCTCTTAAGACCGCTGGGGATCGGCATCGCCCACCGACTGGAGTCAACAATTCGACATCTGGTCATGAGACCTAAGGCCCCTCTGCCACCAGGTGAAACCACGAACGTCATCTACCGGATCCAGTGTAACTCCTGTGAAGCCAACTACATTGTGTAGACGGGAAAACGACTACAGGCCCGGTTTTGGAGAAAACTTGAGGGCAGTTAGGCGAATGGACCCTTTGTCTCTGGTGGCCGAACACTGCGCCGATTCCGGACACACGTCCGCCTTTCAGCATGTCAAAATTCTGGGCCGTAGAAGCGACCGCATAGCCAGGGAAACAATCGAGGCTTGGCACACACGGACAACCTCCATCAACCGTTGTGTGGCTCTTCCCGCTGCCTATCAAGCCCTTCGAGCACAGCTCAGTAAACAAATGAGCAGACGTGAACCCAGGCTAAACATGAATCCAGACATGAGTGAGTCCATGGTGGATGCCCACTCAGCCACCCCTCAACTTGGTTCCGACGAAGGCGCAATCGTCACCACAGCCGTTCCATCTACTAGTCCGGCGTAAACAAGATTGCCAGCCTTGGACGACAGTTAAGGTCAATGAAGGTACGGGCGACGACCACCAACGTCTCAACGCCGGCCCAGATGTAGATTGAGTACTTCCCGTCACCCCCCCCGTCCGCCACAGTCCCTGTGTGCATGCGTTGGTGACCACTAAAGCTGATCCATCGACCCCCCCTCTTCATCCGGCGAGAAGACGCCTAGGACTACCTCCCCGCCCCTTACTCCCTGCCGCTCTGAATTCGTATGTATGAACAAAACCCGTCTCGACATGACTGTCACCCACCTATAAATACTGTGATGCGCGATACCACACTCACCTCCGACGATGGAAGCTTGTATGTTTTTGAAACGCCAGGACAGTAAAACTATGGTTCCCGAGATCGCCTTTATTTCTGATTTATGTCCGGGGACGCGCATCTTCGCTTTTATTAGCAATATATATATATATATATATATATATATATGAGAAGATAAGGCGATCGCAGGAACCATAGGTATATTTGCCTGACGTTTCGAAAGCAAACAAGCTTCCATCATCGGAGGTGGTTTGCGTACTGCACGTCACAGTATTTATGGGTTTTTTTGTTCTTCGTGCTGGCGTGTCACTGACTGCCAGCGCGCTGCATCTCAAGGCCTGGCGATTTGTTGTCATGGCGGCAACGGTTCCTCCTCATTCTTTGTCGGGTGTGAGAAGGGGAGCGGCATCATGGCGGCCGCGGCCATTGCTCTTGTTTGCATTGTCCGTTGTCTGCCCTCCGCGCATCTCGCCTTCCTGCCCTGCTCGCAGACGCCCGTACCCGTGTGCACGGTGGTTACCATGCTAGTGTTGACGTCCGGCTGGGGGTGCCTGTAACTGTCGTGGGTTCCCGCCTCGCTGCCCCGTTCACATCTGTCCGTAACTGTGTTGATGGTGGTTGTCATGCCGGTGTTTACGTCGGGCTGGGGGGTCCTGTCATTGTCTGGCGCTCTCCCCAGGGGCTGGCGTCTGTCTGTGTTCGGACCCAGAAGGCGGTCGCCTAGGTTTGTGTTCGTCGCCGGTTGTCCACTGGTTTCGTCGGGAACACAGATGGGCATAGACAGGAATCGGGAACCGACGATGCCGTGATGCCGCTCCCCTTCTCACACCCGACAAAGAATGAGGAGGAACCGTTGCCGCCATGACAACAAATCGCCAGGCCTTGAGATGCAGCGCGCTGGCAGTCAGTGACACGCCAGCACGAAGAACAAAAAAAAACCCATAAATACTGTGACGTGCAGTACGCAAACCACCTCCGATGATGGAAGCTTGTTTGCTTTCCAAACGTCAGGCAAATATACCTATGGTTCCTGCGATCGCCTTATCTTCTTAGTTATATCCGGGAACGCGCATTTTTGCTTCAATCAGCAATATATATATATATATATATATATATATATATATATATATACAGTAGTTGTGCTAACTCATGAAATGTCAACCAAAATTTCGAAATGCGTTCTCGTTTCGAAAAGATAAATTAAGTAGTGTTGTAAAACTAAGCATGATGCAGCATAAATCTATCATGATCCAGTTACCTCAGGGTTTCGGCTTTCGAAAGAACTTATTTTCGGTTGCATGAAAGATCTATACTTTGCAAAAAATGACTACTTAAGTAGCATGCAATTTTTTCATTGATTTTCGATGCCCTTGAAAATTCAATTATATTTCATGGAAAACATGCATGAAAATATTCATTCTTTTACTTATTCGGTAGAAAATCACGTCTTCTTCCACTTTTATACTCACAAGAAGAGTATAATTCGGTTTTAAAAAAGTTTCTAATTGTGAGACTTTTTAATACCGTTAAATGGCCGTTCATGAAACGTCATGTATCTGCATTTACGAATGTGGCTTGTAAAGTTAGCAATATTGCATGCATTTCTCTACGGTGTTAAAAAGAGACCATATAACGTTCATAAAATTAAGCAGTCGATTTGAGCCATATTGTTAACTTTACTGTATATATACATATATACATAAATATTGGAGAGACCGGCAAACGACTGCACACCCGTGTTGCAGAACACATGAGGGCAGTTAGGCGGATGGACCCGTTGTCTCTAGTGGCAGAACACTGCGCAAACTCTGGACACACGTTCGCCTTCCAGAATGCTGAAATCCTGGGCCGGGGAAACGACCGCATCACGAGGGAAACAATCGAGGCCTGGCACACATGCGCGAACTCCATCAACCGCAGCGTAGCGCTTCCTGAGGCTTACCAGGCCCTCCGGACGCAGCTTAGTGAACAGAAGAGCAGAGTCAGGCTGCGACAAGACAGAAACCCAAGTACGGCCGAGTCCATGGGTGCCACACGCGCAGCTGTACTTCAACCCGAATCTGACGAAGGTGCGATCGTCACTACAGCCGCGTCGTCCACTTATCTGGCAGGTGTGAGGACGAACGATCGCAGTAGCGCCAACGGACCCGATGAAGGTGCTATCATCACTGCCACTCATGCGGCAGGTGAGAACACAAGTGACGGCAGGGTGACAAAGAAGATTGCCAGCCTAGGACGAGAGCTAAGGTCAATGCAAACACGTGCGATGACAGCTAAGCGTCCAAACGGCAGCCCCCGAATAGACGCAAACCCGTTGTAACAAGATCGTCACCGCCTATAAATACTGTGAGGCGTGGTAATAAACTCACCTCCGACGATGAAATCTTGTTTGATTTTGAAACGTCAGGGCAATATAACAATGGTTCCCGAGATCGCCTCTTCTTCTTATACATATATATATATCAACATGAGTGAACATTCGAGGTCCAGATAGATTATCCCGTTCATCATCCCCAAAAGAAGACGAAGAAGAAAAAGAGGCGATGCCATGGACCACACTGTATTGGTGCTGACGTTTCGGAAACATACTCGTTTCCATCATCAGAGTAGTGGTAGGGTGTTTGTTCCTGCTAGCTCAGAGTTGTTCTGTCTCGCCGCATGTCTCGTGTTATAGGCATGCCTGCTACACGAACTTTGACCTGCCTGCCATGCCGGCTTAGGTCTCTCCGTGGCCGACCACTGGGGCGCTGGTGTGATCTCTGCCCCCTGCCCGGCCGCTGTTGTCGCTGCTGGGTCCGTGTGCCCTTGGGCCCTCCCCCCATAAATTGACGGGCTGATCAGCTGCCGTTGCATGTGGGAATCGGGGTCGGCTGTTTGGGCGCGTCGGTGGGTCGATATCTCGCGTCGGTCGTCTGACACCCGGCTGGCTCTCTCCCCCTGCTGTGAAGGTGACAACTGTTGAGAGAGCCGCGATTGTTCGCCAGTGCTGTCGGCCCCGTCCAAACTGACTGGAGCCTCGTACGAAGCGCCTGGTAGGCCGGAAGAAGATCAATGGCTCTGTTGATTGTGTCAACTGAGGACCAACTTTCGAGAACCAGTCTGGCCATCTTGTCGCTCGCTCGGCCGATGACGCTCGCCTCCCCAAAGGCGAAACTGTGCTTCTCCTGTTGTATGTGGCCATATACCAGTGACAGCTTATCCTCGCGGTTGACTGCAAGCTGGTGCTCGTGCAATCTTGTGCAGAGGCGTTTGCCCGTTTCACCAACATAACTTGCACCGCAATCTTGGCAAGGTATGCTATAGACCACTGCTGATTGTTCCGTTGCAGGTAGCTGGTCTTTGGGCCTCATTATCTGCTGTCTGATAGTGGATTCCGGTTTATGGGCCACCCCAATCCCAAAAGGGCTCAGGATTCTTGCTGTCGCCTCAGAAACATTCCTCATGTAGGGGATTGCGAGCCAGAACTTCGGCTTCTCATCATTATATTGTTCGCGGTTAAATCCTCTTCGGCACTCACGTATGAAGGATCGTGGGTAACCATTGGCTGTGAATAGGGAATGCAGATACTTCACTTCCTCCCTTCTCCCGTCGTTGTCATTACAGTGTGTTTGAACTCTTTGGAAAAGAGCTCTGACACAACTGCGTTTGTGACCGAT